TTAGTTCATGCTGACTAATAAGTTCTTGCTTTGGTGAAATTTGTAAACTCCCGTGAAGCGGAGAAATAATGCGAGTGAGGCACTTTTCGGTACCCCTACCAACCCGAACTGCGCCGGATTGAAAATTGTGTGTAAGTGGCGAGCACTGTTGGATACATGGCGCATCCAGATAAAGCTCCCATGTTCAAGAGAGTGAGAACGTGAGTAGAAGATAGAACAGCGGATGGAAGCGAGAACTGCGGGCTATCGCTGAGTAAGAGATTATTATCACTACCACATACAAAGCTATATGGAGTACTACTCAGTGTGGCAATCTGTCGAAGAACTTCCTGTAGAAAGCATGCTTATCGATTTTCTTCACAGGATTCCGACGTTTTGACCCGGTTTGACTGACGCTTTCGTCATCGATGGAATTCAGGTCGAACGGCGATACTGGATTGAAAGCGTTGCCGTGGGCGTAGGCGTAAGGCGAAGTACCCTGGAATCCGTCAAGCCGTAATAATGCGTTAATTGCATGTTAAATATAGCACTCACGTATTCGACTGCACCGGAGAGTGGCAAGCGAACGCCGCCCACGTCGCCTGTTGGCACGGGAAAGTCGATTCCGCCGATGAAGAATCTGTCGTCGCCTAAAGTAGGGAACAATCACTGGGGGCTGCTACAAGTAGGTTGCTAGGATAGCTCTTTCCTGCGAATTAGATGTTTTCTGACCTTGTTCAACTTCAACGGCAACTCCTGTGTGATGTACAAATGGATTGCAGTATGGTGGCTTGCAGCTGGCCGGTTCGTAACCGTATGGAATTCGACCGACAACCACTTCTTTGGCATTCTCTGGAAACTTATTTCATCGGATAGTTCACATTGCGTGATAATCGGGTGGGAGGAGATCTAAGCAGGGACTCGTTGCGACTGTGCCTTTCTCATCTAATCGCCTCTGCTTCTAGACAGAGGAGAGCATGTCGATAAGAAAGGTACAATGGCTGTGAGTCGAGTCTCCGCCCATCCGACTATCGTAGAATGCCTAATGAAAGTGAATGGGCAGCGGATATAGATTCAAGGCTGACATTTAACCAGTGGACCAAGTTTTACTTCAACTCCGGGAGCGATGGGGAAAAGATTCGTGCGAGATGACTCTCA